TTTTTCTAAACGTTTCGTTCTTAATTTTCTCAGGAAGCGTTTAAGCTTCACATTTATTTGCTCCAGCTTCCGCTTTTTCAGCGTGAGCAATTGCTTTTGGAGGTGCAAAAAACCGCACTTGGTCTATCTCTTTAAAGAGACTGCCAATTATAATTAGGTATTTTGTTAGCTATGGATTTTTTTAGATGTTCGCGTTTCGTCAGATACGTTCCGAATCTCGGGGGCCTGCGACGTATTTTATCCATTACGCAATAAAAAGCGCTTAAAAAATCCAGAGGTCTCATCAGCGTCTTACCAGTCCTTTAAATCAATTATGCCATGGAATTTAGGCGGAAAAATTCATAGGCGCCGTTGCCAGTAACTTTAAGTGAAATCGGCCAGTTCAAAATTTTACAGCGTAATTTTGTACTCTCAATTTTGAGGTCTGGCTGATGCTCATTTCGAACTCTGATCCCTTCAAAAAACTACACGTAACATTAGCCGTTTTCAGAGCCACATTGACTCATTGTTCGCGTGGACTCTCGGGTCCTAAGGAACACAATCCGATTGGTTGGAGGGCCGATGAATAACAACAGCTGCAGCTGTCTCCCTCACTCTTTCTATCTCTCCCCTCTCTCCGGGCCATTACTCTCTCGCCTACCCGGTCTCTCCAGGGCCCCCAGTCACCCCATAAAATTCATACGAAGCGCATCCTCGGCGCTACGCAAAATTGATGTGCTCTCTGGCCGGGAAAATGTGCATGCCGAATTTTCTAGACGGAATTTTGGTCTTTTTCATTGTTATCTGTTTTTTGTTTGACCTTTTAATCTCTAGTATTTTCCAAATTTTGCATTTTCTTTTCGACTTTTTCATACATTAAATTATCTGCCTAAAAAAGCTATATTAACTGATTTTTTCAGAATTCACAGCCACCATGGGAGGCGCCCTGTCATTTGGCCGGTTTCGGCAGAAGGAACCGAAAAAACTGAGCAGAGAGGTGGGTTTATGCCTGTTTTTCACAAGTTTTCGACCATCTTCTGAAAAAACTGTAAAAGTACTTATTTAATCGTGGACTATAGTTTATTTTTGTAGATTTTGGAGCTAAAAATCATAAAAAATCAGATTTAGAAAACTATCGTTCAGTTTCCTGAAATTTCAAGTTTTTTTTAGGTCCGCATCAGAACCGGTTTAATCCAAGGATTCCTCGTCGACATTGATAACAACCGCGAGGTCGAAATGTATCTTGGAATCCCCTTTGCAGAACCGCCAGTGGGAGAACTACGGTTTAAAGTATGTTTCCCTACGTTTCAAAGCTCATTTTTCATTTCCAAGTCAAAATGGTGTAAAATCGTAGCGTGTAGACAAGCTGACGTAATATCCATTTTTGTAAATAGCGGATCTCTTTAAAACCTATATTTTTGGTTTTGCAGAAACCAGAACCCCCGTCAGACTGGGAAGGGGTACGGCAGTGTACTCGTTTCGGCCACCGGGCACCGCAGTCCGACTTTTTCTGGGAACGATGGACACTGGGAGTCGGGAAATCGGAGGATTGCCTCACGCTCAACGTCTTTGCACCCACTTGGAGCCCGCCGGATAATGAGGTAAGCATCACTTACTTTCCTAAAGGCACATAGAAGCCAAAAAACCGATGACAGCTCTAATAGGCGAAGAGCCGGATGCTTTCAGTGTCAGAACGTTGCAAAACTACTTAAAATTGTTCACAAAAAAAAGGCTCTTGCGCAACTTTAAAAGTTAATTCGGAACTGACCAAAATTTACGTTTTAGGACGGCTTCGCCGTGATGGTATTCGTGCACGGGGGCGGGTTCGTCATCGATTCCGCCGTGAAATATGGCGATGTTGGCATTGCCAGGTGGGTAAATAATGACTTTAAAACTTGCAGGACCCAAAAAATGCTGAATATTTCCGGGAGCCATGCGTAAATGATAAATAGATTGACGATTAGAAATGGTGAATAGAGTATATGTATATATTTAGATACCTTGTCCGTCATGACGTCGTTGTAGTCACCATCCAATACCGACTCGGGTTGCTCGGGTTCTTTTCAACTGGAGATGAAAACTGCCCTGGAAATAATGGGTTGTGGGACCAGACGATGGCATTGCAATGGGTTCAGGTAAGAGGCAGAGAGAGCGAGAGAGAGCGAGGAGAGAGCGCGAGAAAGAGTAAGTTACCAAACCTTTTTTCAGGATAACATCCACGCCTTCAAGGGAGACCCCCGCCGAGTTACGGTATTCGGACAGAGTGCTGGAGGAGCTTCAGTGGATCTTCTGACTTTGAGCCCGCACAGTCGAAGTAAGTTGGCTAGAAGACGCTCCGATTAGCACCTGTACTACTTCCGCACGCGCCTAGCAGTTTTTTCTTATCGTCTTCGTTGTCCCAGTAAAAAGATGCATTATCCCAAAACTTTTAGACCTCTTCCACCAAGTGATGCCGATGGCCGGAAACGCCGAGTGTGAATGGGCCACCGTCAGCAAGACCCGACTTGTCGATACCTGCCGGCAGTTCGCTAAATCGAAAGGCTTCGTGTCGGGATCTTACAGTAAGTCTGAAACTTCAGCTCTGTTTCTCTCTCTCTCTCTCTCTCTCTCTCTCTCTCTCTCGCTCTATTACTCTCACGCTTTTAGGTGTCTCTAGATGCCATCAAGTCTAGATACAAACCTTTAGATACCCGCGCAAATGCTGACATGCTAAAATGGCTACGAGAAAGACCAGCTAAAGAATTCGAGCGTGGCTTGCTGGGCAGAAAGGTGCGGTTTTTACTTAGAAAAGTAGGTAATATAGAAGCGAACTGTATTAGCACGCCGTTGATTTTTTGCCAATAACACAGGATTGCTTGGCGAGCTTGGTTTTGTTTGTTTTTCACTAAAACAGCGTCAAGATTTTTGCGAGAGCTTGCTCACACTAAAAGCGATTAGCTTTTGCTGTGGCTAATGTTTTGCGGAAGAAGCGTTCCTTAGCCTAACCTTATTAATTATAGGGCGTGGATACCTCAAAGCTGGGACTCGATCTGGCACCAGTTGTTGGCAGCGAGCCAAGCGACTTCTTCCCGAAGCCGCTAGCCGAGCTGAGGAAAGAGGCGCCAAAGAAGAATGCGATGGGTGGAACTTGTGACCAAGAGGGATTGTTGTTTGGTATGTTATACCCTTCGGAATAGTGCAAAAATCTTGAACTGAAATAGCTTAAAAATTCTTAAAAGTATACTATTCATTCATCTTACAGTTTTTTGCAACTACGCTCAATTAAATTATCAAAACAACTATTTTAGCTGCCGTAGCTCCTGGTGGTATGGACGAAAAAGGCTTCGATCGCCTCCTCACCGTCTGCATCAGCGAAGACATGTTCCACCTCGACTACAAGGAGCTCCGAGAGAAAGCTAGAGAAGTCTACCTCAAGGACATTGATGTTAAGGATAAACTACAGATGGCTACGGCTTTTGTTAAGGTATGCAAGCACGTCAAGCTTTCAAGGCTTGTATATTCTAAGGCTACCTACAAAACGGTTTTTTTTCAGCTTTACTCCGATATGTTCCTCAACAACGGTACGGCCAGATACGTCCGTTCAATGGTTGAACACGGAAATAAGGTCTACGCCTACTCGTTTGAATACTTCAACCCAAGGAGTTATGGATTCTTGGCGTTGAAGATGCCGTTTAAAGGTAAGTGAAAAAGGGTGAGAGAGAGCGTGAGGGAGAGAGACAGAGGGAGGGAGGGAGAGAGAGTGAATGAGTAAGAGAGAAGGTGATAGAGCGCGACAGCTAGGATAAGCTAAAGATGACATTTTCAGCGGCCAGTCACTGTTCTGAACTCGCCTACCTCTTCGGCCATGGCATCGTGGTGAAGTTCAAGATGAACGACGACGACCGCAAGATGCAAGATCTTATGACGAGGATGTGGACGAATTTTGTGAAATATGGGTAGGTCCATGAAAGCTGATATTGTGGGATTACTGAAAATCGAAAATCCTGCGAGAACTGTAATTTTCAGAAATCCGAACGGTCCATATGAAGACTCTACCGTGTTCGACTTCATGTGGGAGCCAGCTACGGCTGAGAATGACTATAGGTATGCATTCCTAGACTACTCTCACTCTCTCTCTCTCTTGCTCTCTCTTTCTCCCTCTCTCTCTCTCTGTCTATCTCGCTCTCTCTTTCCCTCTCTCTCGCCCTCTCCCCCTCTGTCGCTCTATATGTCTATCTCCGCATCTCTCTTTCCCACTCTCTCGCCCTCTCCCTGTCTCTCTCTCTCTACCATAACTCCCCAATTTTCAGCCACCTCGCCATCACCGACAAGTGCGTAATGAAGGACGAATACCACGAGCGGCGCTTCGACTTCTGGAAGGAGATCAAGGTCGTGGCTAAGAATATTTAGGCCCTTATTTTGTTATTTATTGTCGTACGGAGTTTTTTCTATTTTTCTAAGTTAGAACTACCATCCATACTACTGTGAATTCTTTAAACCGCCTACAAAATTCTGGTCCCACCCTCCGATTACTAGTCCATTTCCTATTCCCAAAAGGGTCCCACCGCTACGGGTTAATTTATTTCTTTGTGCGTGCAATTTTAATAAATTGTGTTTTTTTTCATTTTTAGACACGTTTGCTGTACACGTAATTACAGGAATACGATAGAATACAAACCACAAAAAACAAGAATGACAAATTCCGCGAGAATCACCGAAATCAGAGAGTTTGCTGTAAAAGGGAAGCAATTGGGCGATAGAACCCGGCAGTGTGGTGGGAACCAGAAAATGAATTTAAAAATAAGATACAGGGAAACCTGGAGTACCATTTTGTACAAATTCCAAACTGAAAAAGCTCAGGTTTTGGGGGGAAGTTCAAGGACATTGAAAGATGCATAGTTTCCTAGCGGAAATTTGGTCCATTTGGGGCTTTTGTGTACTAAAAATTGATCGTAAACTTGAAAGGAATCCGGATCGCTCCGGTTTACGAATAGAAGAATCCAAGGTGTTTCGGAACGCCACAAAGTACGGAATTTAGCTTAATTTCCCTGGCAGGTCATATTCTTCTTCCGGCGCTCCTCGACCTTCTTCATCGCGTCGGGCAGGACGGACTGCAAATCTTTGCCGTACTTGTTGGTACCGGCGCCAACAGCGGCAGCGATTAGCATGTCGGAGTGTTCTGGAAAAGGTATTATATACCTAGAATGTACCTTAAAACCCGTCAAGAACCGGCTTAAGGTTAGGCTAAATTGCCGAGAGCCTAAAATTCCGTCTCAAGCAGTAATCAGCCTCAATCTCAAATAATCTATGCTAGCCTAACTCTTAAATTTTTTGTACAATCATAAACATTTTTATTTATTTTTTACGAACCTGGGCAAACCTCAGCGAATTGAGGCAAGAAAGAAAGGGCATGGCGTGCGATCAGGCGGTCTTGGCACAGCAGTACGGAGACGTATGCTCCAATGATCTGGTCGACGGCCTGAAAACAGAATATTATTATTGTTCTCTCTCTCTCTCTCTCTCTCTCTCTCTCTCTCTCTTTCTCTCTCTCTTTCATACGACCACTGATTAGGCCATTAAATATTCTCTCCATTATCTCATACTTTTTAGGAAAAGCATTCCATTTATTGTCTGGCTACCAGCCCTGACCGCTTCTCCCTCACTAACCCATTCCGCCGACACTTTTTATGAATTGCCGATAAACCTGGGTGGGGAAGAAAATTATGGGCTAGTCGGCCTCGCTGACCCGTTTTGGTTCTGGGCTGGTAAAAGTCTAGCTAGAGAATTTGAGAAAAAGGTGTCTACGTCGAAATCGCAGAAATGGTGAATTTTTGGGTTTATTCGAACACGCCCTGAAAATACCGGGGCTTGACGAGAACGAGGATGCCTATTTACAATCGAAATTTTGACACCGAAGCTTTTTCTAACCCTGTAAAGCCTAGAAAAAGTTCACAATTAGATACCTTTGGGTCCTCCCTGATCATGTCCACAGCCGACTGAAAAGCGCTTGCCCGCACGCCAACAAAAGGGTTGGCGAAGAGAGGCAATAAGTATTTGCCGTAGTGCATCTGGGGCCTGGAAAGGAGCTGCATATTGTGGTAGCATACAGGTTCTGTAAGCCTCGTGGCTTATATACCAAAACTCCCCATGAAAAGCGAAAATCCAGACAGGAAACCCAAACCGGACCTGGCGCCTCTAATCAAATCATCCCATTATGACACGGATTTAGGTTTGGGGGTTGGCATTGGGAGGGGTAGAGGTGTTGGTGTTTTTTTGGGAGTTAAAGGGATGGTGCCAGCTGGCAGATTATCTTAAAGGGACTAGAAAGCGCCAGAATCGGCTCTTTTACAACTGCCAGGTGTCGCATCCGTGGCTTTATTAGAAGCGCTTTTGGCGCCACTCGTAGTTTTCGAGATCTAGTGCCCATCGGAGGTCGATTTTGACGGCCGCCTAGCTCATTTACAGCCACGGTAACCCGAAGCGCGCGTAAGCGTTGCTTTTGTAGGCAGAGGAGCGAAAATTCCGTGAGAATACTAATGACACTTTCCCGTTTGGACAGGTATTGTCAGTACTTACTTGGCCAGAATCATCGGCTCGGTGAACTCGCCGGAGGGCCGGTAGGTCTCGAATCGAGAGGCGAGGCTCATTCTGGAAATATGGATCTTAGGAAGTACAAAAAATCACGAAATATATTTGGAAAGTATCAAACAAACTCTATGAATATTGATTGTTTTGCAACTTGGAAAATCTATGGGATCTGACTTCACAATGTTTTTAAAACGCGGCATTACAAAACCAAGAAAGAGCAGTCTGGCCGCAGGGGCTGAAAACGGAATGCCAGCCAAGGCAATGAGAGACGCGACTAGGGTGATTCACGATCGGTTGAATGAAAAGGAGGAAGGGCGGAGTCCGCCCTGTCTCTAACTCTCTCTCTCTCTCTCTCTCTCTCTCTCTCTCTCTCTCTCTCTATCTCTCTCATGCCTTCAATGTCCCTTTAAAGAAACGGACACCGCTCAAGGACACTACTAGGGCATACAGTCAATCAAGTTCGGGTGGGGGAGCACGAGATCCATCTCCGTCCCGCCTGAGCAATCGAAAATATTTTCAGTTCTTTTTCTGATTGTAGGTTGGGTCAATGAGCAAAGCTGAAAGAGACGAGTGAGAGAGAGCGAGAGAGTGAAACTGCGAGAAGGTTGGCGACGGAGCGATGGCCGGCTAGCAGCGTGCCTTGAGGAATCGGTTCCTCGCGGAGGAGATAAAAATAACCTTAAGGAAAATGATGGCAGTGGATTTTAATTGCGGCACCAACCAAAATACACTTACTCGTAAAGAGGAAGAACGCGGAACTCGCATGTTGGAACACTCACTCCGACTCACGCCTAATTACGTTGTTTACAGGTGCCACCAGTAGTACGGCTGAGCTTGGGATGGCACGTTGGGATACATAGTAATCGAGAGGAAACGTGGAAATGCGCATTTAACGAAAAAATCTGGCATTTTAAGTCCCGAAGATTCTTTGCTATCCTGCTGAACCCAAACAAAATTTTCAACCTACAGTGAGCGCTTGGCCGTCTACACTTCACCCTTATATGCCAATCTGTAGAGCTCGAAAACCAACATCCCCGCCCCCTAAAAAACACCTTGACGCATGGTCGATTAGGCCACAGGAATGCCGCGTACTTTCCTTCGGCTCTGGGGACGCGCCCAAAATCAGCGCCCCGCCAAAATCCGATCACTAGGGGAGGAGAGGGAGAAAGAGCATCCACGGTTTATGGTCCATTAAGGAGGTGATTCGAGGGGAAATCCGGGGGTAATCCGGGTGAAGAAGACGATGATGTTGACAATCATTGATCGAGATTTTAGAAATCTGCTAAAAATAAATTTGCGCATTCATGTATTTCAATAGTTTTTCAGCGCTTACCGGTCACTTTAAAGGGCCTTGCAAGGCGAGATACAGCGAAGGGAGAGAGAGGCAGAGGGAGACAAGGAGAGAGAGAGAGAGAGAGAAAGAGTGAGAGAGCGAGAGAGCGAGAGAAAAAGAGAGAGACAGAGATAAGGCAAGAGAGCGAGAGAAAGAGAGAGACAGAGATAAGGCAAGGGAGCGAGAGAGAGAGATAGATAGAGTGCGTTGGCGCTCTATCAGCAACGAAATACTACACCTAACATTCTGCCACCAAACGGTCCATTGAATACTGTTTGCAATGCCAGGTGCAGCACCCGGACAATAGCCGGGCGACTGGGTGTGTTCCAGGCGAAAGGCGGCAAAAAAGTTCGGAGAAATACAGCTAATAGTTATATATAATGCCGTAGTTTTCAAGAGTTTGTTATCGTGATTGATAGATCGTTAAAAATTCAACACTCGAAAATTGGCAGCATGGAGTTTACCTAATTTTCTAGTTCTAATTCTAGTCCTGACCTAGTTCTAATTTTCTAGAATTTTCTAGACTACTTGCAGCACATTAGCGAAAGGCAGAAAATTCAGGAAAACAGAAAAAAAATGCTTGAAACGATGCATTAAGGAAAGCACTACGAATACCGTAATTTTATTCAAAAACCATTGGAAGAATTTACTAGAAACTGGCTATAATTGAGTACAACTTGACTACAGTTTTAGACGCGTTAATGAGATGCAGAAACCTGCGGGAATCAGTCGATCCATGGGAACCGAATTTACGCATTACTGAACGGACCTGAATACCGTAATTTTCACTAAAAAAATCCTAAACAAGATCCCAAGGTCCAAGGCCAAAAATAGCCCGGCCGAACGATACGGGGCTAGCATTTTCTAGGCGATAAACCACCCCGCGACCATCGCGTCTAGCGAAAAGCTATAAACCCAAGAGGGCGTGCGGGAGGGTGTATGTACAAAAAAGCGCAAAAAAGGGCTTTTCGGGAGGATGAGAAGGAGCAGGGAGGAGACCTGTGGCCCCTTCAGCGCGCCACCCCCATTTTTTTCTGTTTGCCTAGCACGTTCCGGGCCAAGTGCCCCCTACCGATTCGTCAGCGGTTTCGACCAGGAATTTCGAGCTTGAACGGGTAGTAGTTTTTTGAAACTGGATAACAGTTTTTAAAAAGATAATGAACTCAAAAATCTAGGCAAATTCAAGAACCTGTAGCTAAAAACCGGCCCGACTTGTTGGCGTTTTCATAATTTTTTCTCCGGCCGTTTAAAGGGTTATTGAAGGCAGGGCGTCCATGTATTTTCATAGATGTATATCTATATTAAGGAACATGCTTTTAAGCCGTAAAGCTGGGTTTAAATTGTGAAAAAGTACCGACTTACCAGTTGGTAAAAACGATTTTTGGCCTTTCCTACCGATTCTTTGACCGACAGAAACCTTTGAAGGGTCGCAGACGACAGGAAGTCTATGGAAGTCCCTCAGGCACAGAGCGGTTGTCGCATTAATGAGAGCATATGGCAGGAAAATAACCTTTTTTCAGGCAACATAGCTCGAAAAATGGAACCAAAAGCACGGTTCCAAATTCAAGCTAGGTATGGTATTTATACCTTTAGTTCCCTCCGTTTTTATACGCAAAATCTGGCCGCCTAACTCCTATTAAAAACTACCAAAATCCCCCAAGCAAACTGGTCAAGTGCCCAGACCGACCATCGGATCATGGGGGTTTCGCCCCCTCCAGTGGGTTTCGACGCTTTCAAGAACCATTCAAGGGGGTTGGGCACAATTTTTTGATCCTTGAGAAGTGGGTAATTATGTCGAGGCTCGGAATCGTGCTCTGACCCCGCAAAAAAACGGAGGCGACGGATTTAGAGACCAAACTCTCTGGCTTTCTCCACGGGTATTTCCGATTCTCAAAACTTTCGTGTTCGGTTTCAGCGTTTCACAAAATGGCGTAAAAGCCGAGTTCTTTCTGTTCAAAAGTGAGTGAACTCCGGGTACATTTTTTGCAAAGGGAAAAGCCCAAAAAATTACTCATCACCAGCCCCCTGCGTGGGTGTGCAGAGGAAAGTTGTGTATAGAACGGATTATTCGGAGGTAGTTAGGGTAGCCGTGGGAAGGGGTCAGCTTCACTTGCAGGGTAAAAATATCTGCACCCGAAAATGACCGGAAAAGGTCGAAAAACAATCTTAGAGCCAAAAAATTCTTTTCGTACGCATAAAATTGCTTGAAAGGCAAAAAACCGTGCGAGATGTTACGGTAATTCCTATAAAAACGAGCTAAATTGAAATTTGGGTGTAGCGTTGAATCTCCTAGTTAAAACACCAAATACGGATCTTAATAAAGAATTTATTGCAATTTAAAATCTTTAAAAATCACTAATAAATTTTACACTAACTCATCAAATCAGGATAAATCCTAATATTAAGCTTGAAGAGCCAAAAACATCGAGAAAAGATAAGTAAATGCGTAAAAGAAAGCTGGATAAGATAATTAAAATTTTGACGTTAATAGCTAATTAAATTAAACATTACATCAAATCGGCAAGTTAACTAGGGAAAACCGAGAGGTGAAAAAAAATACAGTAATTTACAAGGTAACGGCGAAGAACTATGCACTACAAATCGCTACACCATAATTAATGCATAGAAAGGTAATTAAATAACTAAATCTGGCTTAAAAAGGACAATTCTGGTGCTCATCCCGACCCGGTCAAGGGATAATAATCAATAACGGCTCCTCTCCGATCAGGAGGAGGCTTTGCTAGCAGTCGGGGTGATGGGTGTGTGTGAGAGTCTCCGCTCGGTCTGATCGTCAGCTCCAAAAGAGGCACACAACAGCCAACACATTTGCAATTCCGCTCGGATACGAAAAGACACGATGGCTAACGGTCCCTCGCCCTCAATGTCGTCTACCCGGGACGGGGAAAGGGGTTCCACCCCTTTCCCTTTAAACGGCGCCCAAATTTTCCCGATTTTTTCGATTCTCTCCGGCTAGGGCGAGTCGAGGTTGATTGGCACAATGACGATGGGGAGCATGAGCTGATGATGGGGTGATGGAAGGGCAACATTTTATAGAATTTCCGGTGTATTTTTATCAAAAATAGTGAAAAGTTCGGGTCTAAACTCACAGAAAAAATGTTTGCTAGCCTCCCATGACCCTGATTCTCCGCAAGTTCGTCTGCTAGTTAGTTCTGAAAAATTAGCAGCAAGACCACCGTTTTAAAACGAGAAGATTCCGAAAGAACCTCCGCTAGGCCGCCCCATCGTGGTCAGAGACTTCTCAAAAATTCTCTGCTAGTTGCCCTCTTGAAACCAAACCCAAATAACTTTAAAAATGGACCTTTAAAATAGTTACGAGAATTACTGCAAATTTTCCTCCAGAATCATTGCTAGCTTGTCGCACCAATTTTTAAGTTCCACAATGAATCACCGCCGGTCGCAAAGGTCGTTTTTCCAACTTCCCAACCAACTTTTTCCAAAGATTCTTTGATCGTTCCCCTCCTACAAAACATGATAAGCTAGCGGTTTAAAGATAATTTCTACAACTTTTCCGAGCCCTAACAAAAATTTCCGCAGAAACCTCTGCTAGCCGGCCCTAAGGCTCAATTCTGATGCCCGATGACCGGAACAATGCTGTAAACAGGTGCGGTATGAAATGAAGGCCGTCAACCGCAAGATTGGTTTCAGTTTTTGTGGCAAACGGACGGGGCACCACCATACGTTCGTTCCACTTCAACCCTTGCCCCC